GAAGCCGCTGTCGGCCCCCTCGTCCAGCGAGATGGTCTGTGAGCCCCCCACGTTGCGATCCCCGGCCCCTTGGTCGCTCAGCTTGGTGTAGGTGGAGCTGCGGGTGAGGGAACGGGCCGGGGACCCCCCAGCCGACTCGCCGGCCCCCTCCTCCTTCAGCGCCCCGTTCTGCGCCACCTCCATGCTGTGCAGCAGCGTCTCCAGCTTCTTGTTCTGATGTTGATGTCCACGAAATACTTCTGGAGCCCCTTGTCCTTCTCCAGCAGGTTGTTCTTCACCGTGTCGATGACCTGCTTCAGCTGCTTGATCTCCTTGCGCGCTTCCTTCAGCGCCAGCTGGGCCTCCACGCGGTGGCACTCCTCCTCGATCCAGTCCTCCTGCATCCGCGACAGCTGCGTCTTCAGGTCCTCGATCTCAGCATCCCTGCGAGAGATGGGGAGGGCACCGCCACAGCGCTGAGGGGGCTGCGGGGCCAGCCCTGTCCTCGCATGCCCGGCCCTGAGTTGGAGCCAGATCACCCAGTAAAACCCACAGCTGGGACCCAGGAATGGATCCAGCGGCTCGGGGACCCTCAGGAGCGATGCTCAGCCCTCTCCCCGAGGGGCTGCAGAGCCCAGGGCTCCCGAGGACTGCGTGGGGACGGGCAGGTGCCCCAGGCGGGTGCGTGGCAGCTGGCACGCTGGCAAGGACGTGCCTAAGCCTGAGAGGAGCAGATGGGGATTAGCCACCCTCTGACGCTGAAATTCAGAAAAAACATGGCAGAGACTTAATGGGCAGTGCAGGGGAGAGCACAGCCGCTGCAGGTGGGATGTACGGACTCTGCCGCCCCCAAATCCATGGCTCCCCAGTTAGATGGGCAGCAGTGCCAGATACCCATGTGCCTGCAAAGCTGCTGGGCCGCCGTGCTCACCTATCCTGCAGCCGCTCCTGCGTGTCCTTCAGGCGAGCTTTCAGGTGCCTGATGCAGACCTCCTTCTGCTGCAGGGGTGTCAGGTACTGCTCTGGCGTTGGCGGCTTTATCCCATGGTTGTCGCTGCAGAGGTTGTACTTGGCCGAGCGCCTGTGGGAACACGGCCGTCACGCACCCGCCGGTGCTGGCATTGGTGTGGGCTCAGCGGAGGGACCCCAACAGAGAGGCCTCCTCTTGGGGTGTGTGTGGGGGGGTGTGCAGCCCCCTGGTGCACCCCAAAGGAGTCCCATGGGCCAGAGGGGCAGGAGGGTGGGTGCAGCTCCTGACCCCGCTGGCACAGGGTGGTGGGTGCACGAGCAGAGCTGGGAGCAGGCAGCACCGAGGTCTGTGTGCCCAGAGCGAGCTTTCTGGAGAATGGCAGATGCGGATGGAGACCCCAGGGTGGGAGCAGCCTCGTTAGAGATGGCGATAGAAGATGGGTAATGGGAGGGTTCAGGATGGAGCAGGTCTGGAGCCAGTGACCATCCTGCCTGTGGAGAGCAAGCTGGGGCATCCGGCATCTGCTCCAGGCTGGGACAGCAGCATGTCCGGACCCTCCTCTTGCCACCACCGGGGCGGATGAGGTGACGTCTCTGGCCCAAAGCCCAGGGCACCACAGAGAGCAGGGGCTGGCCAGGGGACAGGGCTGCATGTCAGGGCTGGGAGGCGCGCAGAGAGCTGTGCGCAGCACGAGACGCTCCTGCATCGCAGCAGGGTGGACCGAAACCCCGGTGCATGACAGTAGGGTGGTGGGTACTCTGTGTGCATGGACGCAGGCCAGCCCCAAACCCCTGTGCATGGCAGCAGGCAGCGCAGCAGCACCAGCAGCCTCCAACCAGAGACATAAGCATCGCGTTAGGAGCAGCAAGGCAGGACCGTGGCCTTGCAATGCCCCGCAGCAGCGGGATGTCCATCTGCTCCCTGCTGAGGTGTGCACGGGCTCTGACCATCAGGTTACCCTTCACATCCTCCCAGATTTGATGCCACCTCTGGGAGCTGGAAGGTGGCTGGGGACAGGCAGGAGGACCTCAGCCTGGGGATGGCCCGAAACACCAGTGTAGGCTGCTGCGCCTGCAGGGCTGGGGCTGGCGCCCGTTCCGCAGCTCGGTGCTCAGCTGTTTATGACCCGAGTGCA